GTTGTTGTTTTGCAAAGGACGGCTAAGAAATGTACAAAGTTTTAAAACGCACGTGCTGGGCTATTGTTCTACCAATTAGATCTATTGTTTTTCCACGTTCTCGTTGCTGTAGCCGTCGTGGTTTGCTTAAAGTCCCTATTGACTGGGGCAATGTCTATTTTAACTGTCCTTCAGCTGATGTATGCTGGATTAGTGACACTTCTTGAAGAATTGAAGGCTTTTTATTCAAAGTAAGGACTTTCGCCTTCCTCATAGAATTCTGGTTCAAAAAACCCATCCCCGTCTATTCCGTAACTGAAATAGAGAAAATAAGAAGGGTGTTATTTTTAAATAAATCATAAGGAGACGCGGTAGACTCCGGATCGAGGTCCAGGGTCGAGACCCAGCTGGTCAATGTGTTGTGTTCTTTGGAGAAACACTTTACTCTCAAAGTACCCAACTCGATCCGCCCAGGAGTAGAAATGGGTACCGGTAAATTGTGAGGGAAGCCTGATGAAATATTGGGTAGGGGGGGGTAGCCTTGCGACGGACTAGCATCTCATCCAGGGTGGTGTAATGATGATCATCGTAGCTTCATGCTAGGGAAACTTGGATAAGCTCAGGCTGGGTGGGACTCTTGATTACAGACTTTCCCTTTTTTTAAAACGCACTATTCAGTGGATGTTCATAGGATACGAATTGGAGGAAACGAACTGAGCTCAACAACAAAGCAATGATATACTAAATGGATTTAGCACTTACTCTATAAAGTGAGACACGGAAAACCTCTCGGGTGGACATTCGTATTTGGGGCATTTGCATTCAGGGATTGATGTCTCCTCAAGTTTCATGACAGGTTCCTGTCCATCAGAACACGTGATCTGGTCGTAGTACCTCTCACAAAGAGGTTCACACATGAAGAAGGAGTAACCTTCATTAACCACGCATTTACATTTGTACTGGCAATCCTGAAGGGCAAGTGACTCTCCCGGGTAGACTGGTTTAGCCGCATGCATGCAGAAACCTATAGCAATAAGGTGGACGTAACTTGTGGGAATATTAACGTTAACATTTCTCACGCGAGATATAAGTAGCCTAGACAGATCATTTTTGAAGTTATGTGTCGATGAAAGCTTCAAAAAAGGTGAAATCTAATTTTTATTTAAGGAAAGCATCTAAGGAGCGAAATCACCATGATGGATGCTTCTTGAGGGACATTTATTGTCATGAATGACGTGAGCTATACATTGCGCGGTAGCGAAATTTTTTAACCTTCACCTTGCTTAGTAGCTCTGTTAAAGATGGTTTCTTACCATGGCGAACTCTTATACCGACGATTGAAAAACTTAGACCATAAAATCAAACCCTCTGGTAAAAGATGCATATGCAAAGCTCATCTACATTGATGGGCCTTAACAGATTATATAATACTTCGCTCAATTGCGTCATAAAAGTTAATATGACGAAAAGTCACGGTCGGATAAAAATATTTAGCACGGAATAGGGCTTAGGGGGATTCACTTTTTTCGCTTTCATCAAGTTGAAAGTTGTCTCCAAGCAACAATCATCATTACCATAAGAGGAAGCAATAGTGGCTGCTGACGTCATGGAAATCATTGTTACAGAAGTAACCAATAGGATGCAAGCTGGTAACATTGAAAACATCGGAATCCTGTTTCGTCTGCAAATAAAGTAAAATCAAAGTTTTTGTAAATACTTTAGTACGCAAAAATACTTGACCAGCCTTCATGCGTCGTTTTGTCAAAATTCAATTTATTAAAATAAAATAAAATGAAATGGGAACTTTTATCCATAATTTGAGGGTGGTTTGATCTCCATTTCGTAGAGATACTATTAGGCGGTCTTTATTTAATGTTCTCTGATCCAATCCGTTTTTTTTTCCCTAACCTCTGTTAAGATAATAATACATTTCTTTGCGTGATTCCACAAACGAAAAGAAATTGTAACAATTGAAGTTATAAACAATGTTATTTTGGCCGTCGAATGAACAAAGTTCACATGGCATGCCGCAGGTGCGGTGAACAGTTTGCCTCCCACGAAGCACAAGGCCTGCAGAATTAATTTAAAAGGACAGTGGAAAAAAACTAAGGCAACCGGAATCGGAGATAATATGCGTCGGCGAAATTTGGCTCATATTTCAAAGACAAAACTATGAATAGCAGCTTAGCAAGATAAAACAAAAGCGATGCTAATGAAATCATGTTCCTTCAGGATAACATATAGACCAAAAATGGTATAATAAATGTAAAAGTTGGAGAAGACTAAAATTTGTCTGAGTCTTCCCAACTATAGGAAGATTTCCCAAAGGGCATAATAGGAGGGGCGAATTAAAACAATGGTAGTCCGTTTTATAAGCATGAAATTTTCGAAGTGAAAAAACCAAAACATTAGCAAAAATGAAAAAAAAAATAACCCCAAACTCTAAGATATGAAATTATTAATGAAACAACCAACCTGAAAGATATTACCGGAATCTGAGATAATCCTAAGTTGAGAACCAGAATGAAAAAGTACTTGCTCGTCAAATTGTCCAACGACGAACGCAGAGATCAGTTTTGTCTTGCCGCTGCGTTTTTAAGTCCGATAAATATTAGAGAAAGTGTTTTGTTCCATTCAGGTACTTGGCGTCAAATTTAAGAGCTTTTAAAATGTTGCGGAAATATGGCCATAAAAACTAAAGAGTTTGAGAGTTCGATAATGGCTGAGCCTTTTAAAGTTCTGAACTATACTTGATGTCGGGTTCAGGATTTTTAATTTTTTTCTTGTCATTTGCGATATATTCGTGGGTTTGGCTAATTGCGAATTAATGTGCAAAAAATGGGTTAAACTAAATGGGAAATATAGAAAAAAGGTGTCATTCTTTTGAGAAAAGTTAATTAGAATACAAAACTCTGTACAATAGCAGGATAATTACCAAGAAAGAAAGTGTCATGTTGAAACTTTTAACTTACCAACCAGAGAGAGACCAGAGAGCTTTTAGAATTGTGTCAGACTGCAACTAAATGAACTCTCAGTGCGACTTAAACAAGAAATTTATGCTTTAAAATAACTGACATGTTTTTGTGTATTTTTGTGCCATTAGTTATAGAAAATGAGCTTACTGACGCAAATTTATTGTTCTCAATATGCATACACAGAGTTTCCGATAAAAGAAACCCAGGTAGAAACGATAATGAAAAAGCAACTGCCGGACGTAAATTAACACGAACAATGAAAAGGCCAATAAAATGCAGCTATGCCCAAGGAGGTAATTAATTAACTACCTTTATTCTGTAAAGGTAGCTTTGAATCCTCTTATGTTTACGTAATCTAAGGATTTTCATCTATTTAACCCCTTTGCTTTCGGTATCCTTCCCCGTTTGAAAAAAGAAAAAAATTAAACATTCATTCAGAAAGGATGTTATTACCAAAATTACTATGCATATTCAAGTGTATCAGTCGACAGTACGTGCTTGTGTGTCTTTTTGTTTTTGAAAAATTTCTTAATATCTGCTGCCTAAATCACTACAAGATTGCAGTTTATCAATTTCTGGAAATGTCAACAGCTTGATAAAAAGGTAGTCAACAATGACGCATGGACTCAGCTCTTGACGTCGAAGACAGACGCTGTCTTTGCACTTTTAAGACAATAACCGGCTATCTTTAGAGTCTTCTGAAATGCAGATATGTGCACGAAAAGAAAATTTTGGAATTTCTTTCAAATATGACCATATCCGATGAGGAAAAAACTAGAAAAATACTTCGAAAATACCTTCAGCTACTTAAATTTCGTCCACTTACTTTTTGTTCAGAGGTTATCAGAATGAAACGAAATGAAAGAAACGAAAAATCATAATGAATTTATACAGGAAATATGTCGTCTGTTTTAATGAAGAATTTCAAGTTATTGACACGCCTCAGAGATTTGATTTTTACGACCTGGAGATCGGTAATCCTCTTTTTTTTTTTTTTTTCTACGGATGTCATTTATTATTATTATTATTATTATTATTATTATTATTATTATTATCATTATTATTATTTTAAAGATCAAAAGAAAAAAAGGA